TAGATTGATGGTGACTTTTTAGGTACAGAACTGGAAGCGCAAGTCATGAAAGAAAAAATAATAAATTGGACTATATTAAAATTTTAAAAATTCTGCTCTGTAAAAGACAAGCCAAATATTGGGAGAAAATATTTGCAAAACACGTATTTGATGAAGGAATCGTATCCAAAATATACAAAGAATTCTTAAAACTTAAGAAGAAAATAAGTAACCCAGTTAAAAAAATGGACAATTGATGTGAACAGACACCTCACCAAAGAAGAAATACAGATGACAGATAAGCATATGGAAAGATTTTTAACAGCATTTTTCATCAGGGAATTGCAAATTAAAACAACAATGAAATACTGCTATACATCTATCAGAATGGCTACAGTTCAGAACACTGACACCACCATATGCTGGTGAGGATGTGAAACAATAGAAACTATCATTCCTTGTTGGTGGGAGTGCTAGATGGTACAACCACTCTGAAAGACAGTGTGGCAGTTTCTTACAAAACTAAACACAGATCCAGATACTTATCCAAATGAGTTGAAGACTGATGTCTACACAAAAACCTGCTCATGGATGTTTACAGCAGCTTTTCATAATGGCCAACTCTTGGAAGCAACCATGATGTCCTTTAACAAGTGAATGGATCGGCACACTGTGGTACATCCACACGTGTATTAGTTTCCTACATCTGCTGCAACAGAGTAGCACAGATTGGGCTGCTTCAGCAACAGAAGTTGTTAGCACAGTTCTGGAGAAGTCTGATATCAGTGTGTTGGCAGAATTGGTTTCTTCTGAGGGCTGTGAGAGACAGTCTATTCCATGTCTCTCTCCCAGCTATGCACTGCAATTCTTTGTCTTTGTTGTCTTTTAGTAGCATGATTCCAGTCTTTACATGGCATTTTCCCTGTTCCTCTGTTTCTGTGTCTAAATATCCCCTTTTGTAAGAACACAGTCATACTGGATTAGAGTTGACTTCATCTTAACTTGATCATCAGCAAAGGCCCTATTTCCAAATAAGGTCCCATTCACAAGGAATTAGGACTTAATATTTTGGGGGATGTAGGGGCACAATTCAGCCCATAACATAATGAAATACTGTTAAAATATTCCATTATTCCAGCAGTAAAATGAATGATAGATCAAGCCACTGGGAGACATGGAGGAGATTTAAAATGCAGATTGCTAAATGAAAATAGCCAATCTGAAAAGCTGTATACTGTGTAATTCCAACTATATGACATTCTTAGAAGGTCAAAAAAAAAAACAGTAAAAAGATCATTGGTTGCCAGGGATTTGGAGGGACAGAAGGAGGGATGAATAGATGAAGCACAGGTGATTTTTAGGTCAGTGACACGATTCTGTATGGTACTGTAATGGTGGATACGTGTCATACATTTGTCAAAACCCATAGAATATACAACATAGTTAACCCTAATATAAAGTATGGACTTTAGTTAATAATATTGCATCAATATTGACTCATCAATTTTAATGAATGTACCACACAAAAGCAACTCCTCAATAGTAGGGAAAACTTTGTGTGGGAGGGAGAGGAGGGAAGGAATATATGGGAACTGTCTACATTTTCTGCTCAATTTTTTCACTAAATCCACAGCTTCTCTAAAAAATAAGATCTATTCATTTACTGTTAAAAAAAAACTTTCTTTGGTAGGGAGATCCCAGATAGCTCCATTAGCTTGGGTGGACGGGAAAGGTCTCTGTGGACAGACAACCTTTAAATGTGACCAAGAAGGTGTTTCCTTTGTGAGGCTCAGATAAGAACAGTTCCGTTAGAATGGCTAGAACAGAGGCTCTCCAGTGGAGATAAGCTGAGTATGTTTGAGAAACATCATGAGGGCCAAGGATGAGGGGAAGGCAGTAGAGGAAGATGGTCAGGGGCTGGAATAAGCACGACTTTTTTTTTTAACAGCACCTAGAGTGGATTTTATTCTGAGTGTGATATCAAACCATTAGATGGTTTAATAGGGAAGTATTAAGATATGATCTGTATTTTGAAAAGATCACTCTGGTGTTTTATGTCGAGAATAAATTGTATACTGAGGCAATGTTGGAAGCTGGGAGATTAGCTAAGAGACTGTTGCAATGGCTCAGGCAAGAGGTGATGATGGTTTGGGCTAAGGTGGGGCAGTGGATATGGAGATAAGGGGGTCAACTGGGGTTGTGTTGATAAAGGTAATGGAAGAGAGGATTTCTCACTATGTCAATCATCTGTGGCACAGCCCTGGCTCTGGAATTATGTGGAAATGTCAAATTGGTTATAGGCTTAAATCCATGCCCTTTACCATTCACATCCCCTTCCATGGAATGAGGTCATCGGATCAGATATTACTTTAAATAAGTAGGCCTTGTAAAAATGCAGACAATGTTTGCTTTTCATGTTTATTGTAATAGGATGTGACTGGTATCTAAAACTCATTTAATATAGGCTTTAAGTGTTTTCCTTTTATTTTTTTCTGAAAATTTTTAGTTACTGACATGGAAATGAAAGTATCTCCATTAATAAAGACCTTACTACAACTGGTCAACTTTGTATCTACAGCAACTCTGCAAACAAAAACATGTTTCTGTTATTTAGATTGGGCAAATCACAGCTAAAATACAGAGCAGCAATGGTGGAGAATTGTTGCAGTTGTTGCATATGATGACATCACACTGCTAGACATAAGTCGTAATCTGGCAAGGAAGAACAAAGAAGTTGTTCTTTTTTCGTTTGTTTTAGAAACTATTCATAAAGTTGGCTGAGAGTAACAAAGTTGCTAATTTTTGCTTCAGTAGTTTAAGGTGGATGGTAAAAAGTTAAAAAGCAAAAGAACATAATTGATTTTAAAATATGGCAAATTAAGAGAGTTTGTATCATTCATCTCTAATGAAGAAAAACCTCAAAAATTAATTTTTAAGAAATTAGAAAAATTTTAAGAATTTAGAAAAATTAGTCCTTGAAACATTGCTATAAAAAGGGATTACTTTGTTTCCTATGGGATAACTCAGATTCACATAGAATAATAGTCAAATAAACAAGAATGTCAGATAGCTAGCAAATAGTTTGAATAAAAAAATAATAATAGGGTGGCATATGTGAATTGTATACTTTTTGATTACTTAAGTCAATCATGTCATTTCAAAAAAGCATACCTGATTCTTTAAGCATTATTAGGAATTATGTTTGCTTACTAAAGAAGGCAAAGTGTCCTTGGAACTGTTATTCACAACATATGACATCATTCATTTTTCTAGTCCGTTCAAGAATGCTATTTAAGTCCTCAATGCTATTTGCTACTTACATTTATGAAGAATTTTCGAAATGGTAATTATAGACTGAGCCACACTCTCTCCTTTTAAAATTCCACTTTTTGAGGGGATTGACAGATACACACTACTATATATATATATAATAGATAAACAACAAGGACCTACTGTATAGCACAGGGAACTATATTTAATTTCTTGTAATAACATAGTGGAAAAGAATCTGAGGAGAAAAAATATATATGTATGTGTATGTATAACTGAATTGCTTTGCTGTCCTGAAACTAACATTGCAAATCAACTACACTTCAATTCAAAAAAGTTTTTTAATTTTTAAAAATGAATATATACGCAATAACAATTTAAAAAGTGAAAAAGAAATCCACTTTTTTGTTTTGGCAAAGATTTCACATGATTTTGAAATTTTACTCTTTACATATATGTTGTTTTCTTTGCCTAGAGTATATCTAAATGTTTATATATGAGTGATATTACTCTCAGCTTCATGAAACATTTTACAGCTCTAAGTTGAATCAGCACAACATTATTAAACACATCCAGCATCATAGTAGAAAGAAAAGGTGAATATATTATGTCTATTGTTTCTGCTCTCGATTTTTTGTTTCAAAAGTTCTTACCAATGAGCTAGTTACAAAATAAATCATTCCCACAACATTTACACTGCACTATCTCAGTTTCAGTAATCTTTAAATTGAAGTTTGCAAGAAATTGGCATTTTCACCTTATATAATAAGACACTTTCTGTTATGGAAACACTTTAAAAACACTTGAAAAAGACTATCTAAAACCTTTAAAATGAGAAATACATCTTTGTGTTTCTTAATAAAATTGTTAAGGATATAAGGTATTGTAATGATGTAAACAAAAAGTCAAGCCTTTATCGGGTAGTTACAAAAGTTGTATTCATTGGAGTATTTCTTGCTTAAGAGTTTTATGAGTTGCCTGAATAGGAAAAATCAGTTGCCTTCTTTCTTTTACCAATTTCTGTCATTTTTGCAAGCTCCTCAAGTGTCAACCAGATTGCAGATGGGGCATTGTGGGAGACAGAAGAGGAGAAAACTGGAGAGGACTGACAGCATTTACCTTAATTTTGCAATTAATTCCAGTGTTAAGGCAAAAGAGGGAAAGAAGGTGGGTGACCTTTCATATTCTCCCCAGCACAGACCAGGCAAGATGGTTGAGAGAGATCACCCAACCCTTTAAGGTCAGTTATGGGGTGGAGGAGAGGGCATACTGCATCCTGACTCTGGAAGGTCTTCCTTCTCTTTTCAGAACACATTTCTGTACAAGTCTTTAATTCTCAGTGCAACTCATTCCCTGGTAGCTGTATTTGCAGTAAGTAATATAACGTCCATTTAAAAACATTTCTGAAGGGTGATTGTTGGAAGTTGTGAAGACACAAACATCCTATATAGAACAAAAAATATCTGTCTCTTTAAGGATACAGAAAGATTTGTAAGTGAATGTATATAACTCTGGAAGTAGATGATCGATCGATCGATCGATCGATAGGTAGGTAAGTTCGATCGATCGATCGATCGATCGAAAGAACACGCATGTTTCGTTTCTATACCTTATGCAAGTTTTCTAGCCAAAACTTACGTTTTCCTCCATCCATTACCTACTATAGCGCATCTAATCTGTCTGACCTATTCGGGGCTACACATCCCTAAAGCAGGCTGGGGAGCTGTTGCTTCTGCCAGCGCCGCCTTCAGCCCGAGCGCTGAAGAAATGCTGAAGGCGAGCAGGCAGCGAAAGAGTAAAGAAAACGCTCTTCTCCCGCTCGTCTCGTCCACCGCGCCCTCCTGTCTTCCCGGGCTGCCGTACCCTAACAGTGCAAAGTTGGCAAAGAGACAGGGCGGAGGGACCTGGGGCCAGGTCAACTGATGGCAGGGTGCTGGAGCTGCTCATCCCGCAGCTTCGAGAGCCTCCTGCCGCCGCCGCAGCTGTCACCTACTCGCCGGGCCGCCCGGCGCGCCCCTAGTCTCCTGGGTGGCCCCTAACCGACAGCTCAGTGCTGCGGCTCTAACAGCTCCCACTCACAAGTCTCTGCGTCTCCAACTCCCGGTTCTCACCCTAGCCCGCCCGTCGCCTCCTCCGTCCCCTCCCTGCCATTGCAGCGGGGGCAGCGATTTGGCGCTCGGGAGGACTCCCCGCTACTCTCCCTGCACAGGCTGCTGCTGATGAATCGCGGCGCCGCAGACACAGCCGTGCTGCGGACGCCCGGGCCAGACGATGGGGACCTGCGCCTGAGCATCCCCGGGGCGCGCACTTGACTCGAAGGTGGGGGCGGGAGGGAAAGGGAGGAGGAGTTGCTGATTCCCTAGCGGACCCAGGAAGTTGTCCTTAAAAATATACATCGCTGGCTCGCGGTTGAGCAGCCACCTGACCAGAGCAGCATGTGGACTAGCTCGCTGGGTCCCCTAAGTGCTCTTGTGGCTGCCGCCGCCGCCGTCGTCAGATTAGCTGCTGCGGGCAGGCGTGGGGCGAGAAGCGGGGACCGCGGCTGCTGTGTCCCCTGCTTACTGCTAGCCGCTTTTTCTCGGGAGGTGGCAGTCACTGTTGCTTCTGAGAAACCAGCTCGCATTTCCACGGCTGGTCGCCTGGTGAGGAGTTGAGACTCTGCACCTCCCGCCCGGACCCACATGGCTTGTTACCTGGTCATCAGTTCAAGACATCTCAGCAATGGGCACTACCGGGGCATTAAAGGAGTCTTCAGAGGGCCCCTCTGCAAGAACGGATCTCCCTCTCCGGTAACCTGCACACAGACGCGCGCGCGCGCACACACACACACACACATACGTTCAAAATCAATATATACAAAGAGATATTGTCTTGGTACAGTGAGTGGGTGATAGATATCTACCCATTGGTGTTTGGTGTCTGTTTATACAATTTATTGGCAGACAGCTACATAGCGAGGGGTGTGTGTTTACATGTGTATTTTCAACACAGTCATTAGCATCTGTAGTGCTATGGATACAAATATTTACTGAATGCAGTTAACTGCAGGATTGTGAAGGTAGCTCCTGTCTGTTATGGTCAAGTTATGAATCTGTTGATTTGGGCAATATAGAAAGTTTGAGTGGCACTTTATAACCATGCTTTGTGAAGTCAACAGTTGGGATTAGTTTAATGATGCTGTGTTTACTTTCTAAGAAAATAAACTCTTGAAGGATTTTACATCCAGATTCTGGCAAAAGGCAAGGTGTTGGATGCCGATGCTTGATGAAATCAAATGCTTCACTATGTTGATTCTTTAAGGAAAGCCAGAGAGTTCTTTGTGGAAATATGAATTGGATAGTTTGGTGTGCTATATGCAAATATATTTATATACAATTTGAGTGATTGCTATTAAACTTAGTAAAGTATCCAGTAGTTTACCATTTGACATATTCAAGTATTTTTTGTTCAGTGATTTTGACCAGAATCTATGACTTCAATATATTATTAATTCATTCCTTGGTACATATTGTAGACTAGTGTTTTAAGGATTCAAGTGTGTTTGAAGAAAAATAATATAAGTCATGGTATATTTTTAAAAGTTTTGAATTATTAGTAAGTGACTAAGTGTCAACTTAAGAACAATTTTTGTGGTTTAATGTAAAACACATTATTTTAAGTCTGTAAGATATAAAGAGGGAAAACTCAAGTTACCTGATTTTTATTTATTTTTTTGCTACTTTCCGTCATGGTTCAGTGCTTCATTAGCATGAGTTACTCAGAACTTCAATATATTATAAAACCTTTGATTAAGTGCTATGTGTGATCTGCGTGAAAAAATATAAAATCAGGAAGTACAGGTACTCAGAGATATCACTGACTCCTAGTTGTGACAAATTATTGCCTCACATGCTTCCATACACTGGAAAAAGTAGGTTGTTGCAATCCACCCTACTTCCAAATATATAGTACAGAATTAGAAGTGTAAGATGGAATATTCTGTTTATGTTGGCACTTACAATTAAATTCATAGGGTTAGAAGGATCTCAGAGAGTTGTAGTTCAGTAAAGCCTACATTCAGTCTTTTTGAGCAGCTGGCCTAAATCCTTCCTATTTTTAAAGATTCTCAGGATTGGAGTTTCTGCAGTCTCAGTGAACCACCTTAATGTTTAACACAGTCTCAGAATCTCCCTTAGAGCAAACTTAAATCCTTCAAATTTTTCTTTAAGCTCATTTCATCTGGAAAACCTAGAATGTTCCATCTTTCTCATAGGTGTGATTTTCCCACCCTTTTGATAAGCTCTGTGGCTGTCTTCCAAAACTCTCTCTTTGATTGTGGAAATCTGAACTGGATAGTGAGTTGTAGTATGTGTGCCTTAATAATTCACAGAATACCTGGAGAATGACTTTATAGTTCCTATACTGTTTGGTTCTGTTTGAATTGGTTGGGACCTGATGTTCATCTTCCAAAATCTAATGGATTTGCAGAGGAAATTTCTGTCACATGGCCAAAAAGTGTCCTTTTTCCCCCACTATGCTCATTCATCTCCCAGGAGCCTGAATGATCCCACAGGGACTAGACAGGTGAATGTGGATGAGAAGACAGAACCCGTGTGACTCTACTGGCTGGCCAGGCACTCACACCCGTGGGACAATATTCTTATTCACTGTTAGGCTGATTTTTACTAAAGTACTAATTCATTTGCAGCTATCTAGGCATTACATTTTGACTCACTGAGTTGTTCTTTCCAATGTTTACCCATTTGAGTGTACTTAAATTACATTTGCATCATTTAAAAATATCTAAATTAGACTTCCTCTGTACTTTCTAAACCTGATTTATTCTGTCACCTTTTGCATTTTACTGTGGCATTTGAATGACTTTTTCAAGGTTTGAACAATTTCTCACAAGAGCTGGACAGTATGTGAAAACTGATGTTCATTCATTCTCCGTCACTGTGAGGTTGACACAAGTCAGAATTTCCTTCACATTACATAACACTTTGTCTTTTTCCCTAAATTAAAATAGGTCACTATCTTCCGGACCCTAGACCTTTGAGAATTTAAGTAATAATTTCCTGGTCTAGATGAGTTTATATTTGCCTTCTTTATTAATGAGTTGTGAAGCATGAAACTGAAAACTGGTTATGCATGATTTCTTTTTTATATTCAGCATTATGTACCCCTCCAGTTAGTTTAAGGTTAACATAAATTTATTGATTTTTTCATTAGCATAAATATTAAACTCACAGATCCATAATATGAGGTCATTTATTTATTTTTCTTAAAACATATAGCTTCTCTGACAATACTTTTTTTTTTCAAATTTAGTGCCCAGAATGGTCTTAAATTGACCTCTCTTTTCATGACTTAGTTATTTCCACTCACTGAGACTCAATTTATCTGGATACATGAGTTAGGATACCATTTATTGATTTAACTCCCTCTCATCAAGTTCTATAATAACTTCAACTTTGGTTCTTAGTCTTTTAATTTGAGCCTCCTTCCTTTTGATTGTAATCCATATTTTTCTGTTTTAGTAGAGCTATTTAAAAGCAGCACAATTATTGAATTAAACTATTTTGTAACTTTGTTAGAGAAGGGAAAAAAGCCCCACTCCTTTTTTGATATAACAAGAATTTCTTCTTTGGTAGTTCTGATGGAAATATACTTGAGTAATATGAATTTAACACTTCAGTGCCTTAGAGCTGTAATTCTTCAGTTATATGTTTAAGATGGTTGTGCAGTTTGTCATGTTCAAATCACTTGTCTATAGGATCTGAACACGTGATGTTAAACTGACATCATCAAAGAGGGATGATCATATTTATATACGTTTTTGTTTCAAAGGATTTCATTTAGAAAGCATTGAAGCATTATATGGACTTCTTATAATAAATACTTAGCGGGATACTTGAGAAATAAATAAAGCATTTTACCCCTAAACAGTTTTCACAGATCAGTAAACTGAAAATCCTAGAGTGAAATTTCGTTCCTGTCTTCAAAGTGAAGACAGGCAAATATCTGTTGCATCTCTTTTCTTTTTGGTGACTTGGTGTGAAAAAATAGTGCATTGCTTTCATCCTAATTAGAATGTGAATAACATTGAGATAGTTGTTACTTTAAATCCAGGGATAGATTAAGGTAAACAAAGGAAGCATGACAGAGATTATTGCATAGTGTTTACTGGTAAATGTCTCTAATTTTAGAAATTTACACACTCCCATATTTTAGGATATTTATCCCCAACCTATTCCAATTCTAAAATAATATAACTGAATGATGACGTTAAAAGTCTCTCTCTCACACTCAAACACATACAAACACACATGCATATATATATACGTATAGATACAGATACATTCATTGTTACCAGTGCTCAAGCATAGGAAGTTACCTGTATATTACATTATACTCTTTACAATGTTCAATGTGTTAATGGCAAAACTTTATTGTAATTTAGGAACTCCTAAATTCTTCTACCACCACATTTGAATTCAGTTAAACAAGTAATATCCTTTATGTAGACTCAAAAATATATTTGAATAGATCCTTAGTTATCTTATGTAATGTAAAATATCATCTCAAAGTTAGAGTCAAGCATGGTTTTTTATAGTTTACTTAATCTGTGTGTGATTAATAGTAAGATTATCATTTAGTATATCTAGTGATTAAATGTTAACAATAATCATAGTTTTATATTTTATCTGTGGTACATGGTTAACTTATTACCATTCTTTTGAAGTTTAGGTAGTGTGATACGTCTTAAGAAGTACTTCTTCCTGAAAGCACTATAGCTAGACATCCAGGAATATCTGCTTCTGGGAATGTCTATTGTGTTCCCCTGAAACATTAGAAATTCTTGAGATTGTTCACCTGAGCAACAGATCAAGGTCCTTGGATTTTGTTGCTGTAGTTGTTATTTTATTTTATTTAGTGACCTTATCCTAAGTTATATCTGACTAACGTACTTTGTAGAGGAGGTGGCATCCATACAAACATACATTCAAAATGGACTAAAAAATTCTGTAAGTTTCCCTTTTAAAAATGATCGATGCATATGTATAAATGAAAGAAGTTCTACAAAAGATTAATTACCTTGAGGATTCATCTATTCAGGAAACGAGTGCAGTTACAACCTTGTTTTTTTCCTAATGCCTATAATCTTCAGTTGTATGTATTTCCATTATGCTTAATAAGTACATGTTAAACATACCCAAATGCTCTCAAACGGATGCACTTTTCATGTGCCAAATATAATTATGAAGATCTGCTCTCCCATAGAGAAGTCACTTGCCTCCTCTTCTTGAATTCATGAATATATAATACTGCCTTTCATATTGAAACTTTTAGATATTTGCAGTAAAGTGGACTCAGTTACAATTCTCACAATGCATGTTTTCTTTCTTATGTCAAATGTTGTATTAAGCAGACACCTTTCTTCTCTTCTTGCCTTTTCAACTCTTTCTCTCTCCCACAACTAATTGATTTCAGAAATGTATAGTTGCCATTTATACTTCCCAAAATAAGTCTCAACTTTCTAGGACTTAATTTATGCTTCTGTAACTTCAGAAAGTTTCCATGATGAGAAGAATCAAATGAGCATTTGAGTGCTACAATTTGTGACGTTTTTAGATGATACTACATTGATTTCACAATTAAACTTTTATGGGTCAAATCCTTTGATTTGTTTCTTTTAGATGTACAAGTAAGAATGAGTCTATTTTAGGTTTTTGTCCCATAATTTGGGAACAAAATAATAATAAAACATATTGGCATCATGCGTAGGCTAAATGGGGATGGTGATTTA